AAAATTCTCTACTTTAAAAAATAAGCCAATTAAATTAATGTAATTTTAGCATTATATAAGTAAAAGAAGTTTGCTAAGCATTTGCCAGTAGAAGGAATCAAGTAGATTTTTTTGTTTACAAGATGCTTTTTTTTCCTCAAACAGTAAATCATTCTTGAAATCTTGACATTTTTGAACACTGTTTTCAATTCAATAAATTTAGAATACAGTTGTATAAACTATAGCACTTCTAGCTCTTTGGAAGAGGAACAATTCTGTCACACACTAAAATAAAAATTATTTGGTATTATCTTAGTGTCTCTTGCTAAAATTATGTAATTCCTCTGTCATCTGACTTTTTTTGCAATCTAGGTTTACCCTGGAGAGTTATACTTCATTATGATCTACTTCAGTTGCTCAAATGCCCTCCTTTAAATTTTATACAGGCGTTCTAACTCTATTATCTCTGAGATGTACCCAGAAATACACTGCTAGGAGCTCTGGGAATATAGTGATGATGCCTGAGGCCTCAATTTTCTATATAAGAAATGTCAGGGAGGAGTTCTTGGTAGTGAGGAACCGGAAAGCTTGTGAGGAGTCAGGACAACGGTGGCTTTACGTTAAGGTTAGTCTGCGTGCAGTAGCACATACAAAACTTCAAATTGTCAACTTTAATCAAGATGGGGACACTCAAGATATCGTCAGGGTGATAGAAACTAAACAATTGGGAGGGCTTTCCTCAGGTACTTGGGAAGGTTCTCCACAGTTTTCTTCCACAGACCCTCAACGAAGTTTTACTTCTATACATTTGTATGTAAGCATCATTTCCCCACAGAAATAACTGCATTTGTCAGGATAAGAGCTTTCCATGGTTTTGCCTTAGAAAATTCAAGACATCAGGACTGGCTCAGTCGATTAAACATCTGACTCTGGTTCAGGTCATGAGCCAAAAATAAATGCTTATTATTATTTTTTAATGTTTATTTTTGAGAGTGAGTGAGCACGAGTGGGGGAGGGGCAGAGAGGGAGACACAAAATCTGAACCAGGCTCCAGGCTCTGAGATGTCAGCACAGAGCCTGACGTGGGCCTCGAATTCATGAACCACTAGATCATGACCTGAGCCGAAGTCGGACGCTTAACTAAGCCACCCAGGCACCCCTCATTAAAATTTTTTTTTAAATTCAAGACATCTTAGTCCCAGAATCCATGGAAGGAAATCATCTCTGGTGTGGGTTTTTTCCCCACCCTGCTTCTTTCAGCTCCTAAACCTGCCATTCCAAACTCTGCTGTGACATAAAAGACACTTTCCTAGACTCTCCCACACTCCTCCATCAGCAAGCTTCCTGTTCAGTTCTATTAAGCGACAAAAGGAGAAAAAGGGAGGCATCTTGTTTTTTGCTGTTCTCGTCAATGTTACCCCAGCAGCAGCAGTTGACTCCAGCTACCAAATTCTTTAAACTTTTCTAGAACTAGACTCACTAGACCCTTTCACAGCACTAGCAGCATCTGAGAGTGGTCTCTCAGAGCTCTAAACACCAGTTCTGTACCGTCAGCCCTCCTCCACCTCCTAAGCGCCTCATTCTAGTAACTGAAACCCTTCCCTTTTGTTTCCCAGCTTTGAAGGTGCAGCCACTTCCTGCAGTTATCATCTCTGAGTTACCTCAGTGTTCCCCTTTGCTCCTGCACCTGTCTAACCAATTCCCTACACTGTATACTCTCTGCTGAAGTATTGATTGTGGTTTTTGTTTTCTTAACTGGACCCTGATCAATACACTACACATTCTAGTATAAACTGAAAAGGGAGTGGGGTGGGTTCTCATCTTCAGGAAGCCCGTGGCACGTCAGTCTAAACTGCAGTAAAAAACAGACACCCAAACTTCTTATGGGACCTAAAGAGACGGAGTGGAAAGATTAAAAAAAAAAAAAAAATGGACACTCAGTGAATGACTTCCAACTGAAAGCCTTCTGAATTGAACAAGTTCCAGGGACAAGAGCCTAATATTGGACAGCCTGGAGCTACAAAAGCCACATTGAAGAGAAATGTAGTCAGTAAAATGTAGTCCCCTCAGTTGAACTCAAGGTTCAAGTTGCTCCAAGTCTTGCCAACACAAGGCAAAATGTGGAAAAAAACAAGTCAGACTCAAAATTTAAAGTCATAATTGTTTATTAAGATCTTTATGCCAGGAATAAGAAATGGGTAAACATACAGCAGTGGCTTAACTCCCATCTTTTTAATCTCAAAATGTTTAGTGTTTCTCACACCTCTATACACACCAACTGTGAATTAGTATAGGCATTTGTGGAAGCCACTTAGGATTTCTAAGAATTAATTTCCTCTGGGGCCAAGGTCTCTTGTGACCTGAGAGCTGTCGCAGAGGGGGATGTGTGGGCAGGGGTCTCTTGTGATGCAGGGAGCCACAGACATGCCTGGCAGAGGAAAGATGAGTGGAGGGAGCCTTCATCAGTAGACAGAAGAGAATTGAAATTTATTGGATGCCACATTTGGAGATTTAGGGGAGCATGAAGTCACTGTGTGAAGTGAGATCCTTCCAGGAAGTGGCCAGAGAATAATAGCCAGGGGAAAGGAACCATCACTTATTCTGGTTCTTTTTTGAGTCAAGGCCTGCACCAGATGCATACCTCTTGATAGCACTAGGTTAGTTACATTATGATTCCCATACAGAAATTTAAAAAGTGAGATAATGAAATGTAAGTAGTTTACCTAAGGTCATATAGGTAGAGACCAAATTAAGAAAGGAATTCTTTTTCTTCCTTCTTTCCTGCACTATACATGTCTTTGTTTTCATAGTCCAAAACAGGCACAAATTACTAGCCCCATGGTTAAATTCCTTATGGATTAAATATTTGTGAACTAAGAAATCTAAAAGCCATTTAAAACCATTCTTAGCCCACAGGCCCTAAAAACAAGAGGTTGCAGATTTGGCCCCAGGGATGCACTTTACCAGATTCCTGTGCTACAGCTTCCAGTTGATGTCCTGGCTTCCTTCCTGTTTAACAGGCTTCCTTCCCCCGGTTGGTCATGAATGCTTTTCTTGTCTCATCAGCAGTGTGAGCCTGATGACAATTCTCTGCTTTTCAGGGGTTTTCAGCCTTGTAGCGTCTGCCCCAAGCAGTTTCAAAATTCTGCAATTACACCTTGGTGGGAAAGCTGGCCTTTCGGGTCTCCAATATCCTCCTCATTCCAGCTTCATCAGAAGAGCTCTGCCAGTTTTGGTTCACCAGCACCAGCCCTGATTCTTGTCCTGTACCCAAAACAGGCACGTGCGACCAGCAAAACCACTTTCGGGTTGTAAATATCAGTTCACTTCTCGTAAGTCTTCCTCTAGAATCTTAGCACCGAATTTAGCCCTCATTGTTTCAATAGCTCTGACACATTTCAAAGAGTAGGCAATTTTACACTTTTAATTTTTTTTTCATGTTTATTTTGAGAGAGAGAGACTGCAAGCTTTGTGCACGAGTGAATGGGTTAAGGGCAGAGAGAGAGGGAGAGAATCCCAAGCAGGCACCATGCTGTCAGAGCAGAGCCTGACTCGGGGCTTGATCTCACACTGAGATCATGACCTGAGCTGAAATCAAGAGTCAGATGCTTAACTGACACTTAAAACAATTGAGCCACCCTGGTATCCCTTTCCGGTTTTACCTGGCTTTTCTCATTGCTCTCAGCAGGATTATAGGTCTGTTGCATGCAATGTTACCTGGAAAGCATTAAGTCTTGCTTTTCAAATAATTTAAAAATAGTACCTTAAAGCTAAATACATTCAAATTCACTCACAATGCTGTATTTTTTCCAAACTGGAAAAATCTTCCTGAATTATAATTTTTAAAATTTAAAGGCAAAAAAGACCATTTACAGTAGTGCAGGCTGACATGAGTAAATTTTCTTTATCTTGCTTGCAATGTATTTTTTATTTATTTTTTAGTAATTTCTACAATCCAAGGTGGGGCTCAAACTCACAACCCCAAGATCAAGAGTTGCATGCTCTTCCAACTGAGCCAGCCAGGTGCCCCATCTTGCAATATTTTAATAACATTTAAATTTTGATTAGGTGATATATTCAATATGACTGATCAAAAAGTATAAAAGAACAGAGTGAAAAGTTATTCTTCCATCCCTATCCCCAGCCACCCAGGTGGCATGGGAGATGCTGGCGACATTACTCCTTCTCTTTCTAGACATTTTATGCAAATACATGCATATATCTTTTCATATCAGTAAAGTGATTTTGTTGTTGCTGTTAATTGCATATAGTATTTCTTTGTACCATCATTTATTTAGTATCTATTGATGTAACATTAAGTCTGTTTCTAGCTTATTATTATAAACAATGCCATACAGAAATGTTTTGTACATGTCATTCTACACACATGTGAAGATAGTTTTAGGAAATTCCTAGAGGTTGAATTGCTAAGTTCAGAAGTGGGATTTTAAAGTTTCTACTGATACCAAACAATAGATACGACTGTCTATCCCTGTCAAGATTTAAAAAGCACACATACATACACAAAAACAAAATGAAAAAGCACCTTATCTTAGCTAATTTGAAGGGTGGAAAAATAAAAGTGTATGAACATTAATGTAAGTGATGTTATGCATTTCACATATTTAAGAGCCATCTGTATTTCCTTTCCTGGGAACTATGTTTCTTGGGAGCATTTCTAATTTTCCTTTTGAGGTATTAGTCACTTTCAAAATATATTGGCAGACACTTCATATAAAGTAAATGGAGCTCTTTGTGCTGAACTGCATCTATTTCTTCCCCAGTCTGTCATGTTTTTCAATTCTTCATTATGGTAATAGTCTTAGTTATGCAGAGCTTTCCATTTTTATATAGTTAATTTTTATTTTTTAATAGTGGTAAAATATACATAATAGTCCAATTTTATTTTTATTATTTTAATGTTCAGATTCTCCACCTCTGTGGTCCTAGTGCTCCTTGAGAAGTTAATCAGTCCCATGTCCCTTCCACAAAAAGGAGAGAAGTAGCAATACACTCTAATGACTGATTCAAAATATTTATTAATTTCTAACAAAAAGGCATATAAGGTCAGACTGTCCAAAAAACTAATAAATTAAAATTTACCTTAAGGTCAGGAAGACTACTTCACAGACAAATAAGTGGTTAAATGTATAAATCCTGAAGATGTCACACTATTTCCCTTCTCGGTCATGGACTATTCTAGGAAAATTTAATTATATAATTTTTAAGGAGTTCCAAGAGTTATCTACCCTAAAATGTAAAGTGAAATTGCTCTTAGAAAAATACTGGTTTGATGAAAACAGATTTTAGTCTATTTTAGAGAAATCTGGTTAGCTTCTCACTAGACTTCATTTCAGCACAATCATTACTCAGAGGGCAATCATTCTTTTTCTGAGAAAGGGCAAACTAAATTTTAAACTAGCATCAGAACTCTTCCCCGTAATTACCCAATCAATACTGAAATAGATGCCACCAAGTATGCAAAGATTAACAGAATTTAAGTTACAAAATTTGGAGGGAAAAATAATAAAGATAAAAATACTGACAAATTTAACCTAGAATTAGCTCTAGGACATTTTATTATACTTTTATTTTAAAAGGATGGATAACTAGAGATGAGCAGAATTGCTGTTTAAACTGTTATTTGCTTAAAGTTGTTCATATTAATAAACAAGCAATTACGTCTCTAAATTAAATTTCACAAAATGAAATCACTGCCTTCTGATTTAACTTTCAGGGGTAAGATGGCAAAACTCAAGCATGACTTTTTCTATCCATACACACAAATAAAAGTATCAATACAACTGATAAAATAAGGAAATAAACACATGGTTATGTCTCAGGTCCCATAATATGAGATACTGATATTTAACTCTCCTAAATTTCCATTTTTTTCCTGGAATAGCAGAATAATAGAAATGTGAACTCCCCAAATTTCAGGCAATTTAGTAACTGATTTTGATTTTGACACCAGATACTATGGTGTGAAAAGCCTAAAGCCAAATGTTTTCCATGTCACCTAGCAAAGAAAGGAGGACGGGGAATCCTCTGCCAAACCTCATCTGCTACTCCATCCTGAACTCCGTTTCTAACTATTCCCTCAGTTCCAGGGTTTCCAAATTGTCAATCCATCCCACTGAGCCTCAACCCAACTCTTAACTCCTTTTGCAACAAGAGTCTAGTTTCCTTTGTCAACTAATTCCTAACTTTCCAGGACACTCTGATTTTTCTGATTTCACACTGATCATAAACCATTTAAATTGAAGAAAATGCTACAATGCTTAAAATAACTAAAATGGAGATGAAAACTAGATTACATTAGTGTTATGGAAGATGCATGTCATGTACTCTGCAAATAAATGGGAAAGTAGTAAGAAAACTCACCCTGCCTGGGCTCCTAACTACTTGGTATAGTATAATCTTGCTTTGATTACTAGTTAGGACAAAAAGGGAAGGAAGCAAAGGCCATAAAACATGCATTTTTTGGAAAGAGAATGGCACTTGAAGATTTCTTGGGAGTTCGCCAAGGCATTTTTATATCCATAAGGACTGTCAAACAGTACATCACAGTTATTAAAAAAGGAAAGGACTGGGACTCCTGCTTACCACTGAGTTTGGCAGAAACACATTTATATATTTCTCCCTTGTAATCACCAGTCCTTTAATTAAGGACAATGAGTGTGACCACAGAGCAGAATTAATGAAAAAAATTTTAAAGATTCTATGATAGAAAAGTGAGCTTCACAATCCAGCTTTACTAGATTATGAAACACTCCCTTTGCCCACGTATTACTTTGTATACCTCTGAAACATCTGAAAAATACTTTTCTGTGACTTACTAGGCTGTAGGGAACAAGCATTTTTAGATACATTACAATTATCTCTCGAAGAATTTGGCATCTTTCTCCCATTAACACTGACTGAATGTTTCAACTGGATCTTAAAAGATGGTTGCCAGTTTTCATTTTTTGAGCCTCTCCGAGATTTTGAATGCTCTGTATCAGTCTGTCTTTTGAAGTTCCTATCTTTGGAATTCTTCCTCTGTCCACTTAGCAACTTGTCTGGTGGTGAAGACGTAGGACGTAACTGATACTCATCTGGGGATCCTTTCTGCCGGTTTGGCTTCATTTGTTCTTTATCAACTTCTTTCTGAAGCTGTACTGCTAACAACCTGTCCTGTTCTTCCTGTTTATGTCTCTCAAAAAGTAAGCGTTCCAAATCTATCAGTTTTTGGGTAAAGTTGATTTCTGTTTCCTCTTGGTCTGAGGAAGCTTTGGGGAACATTTTCCTCCTTTTTGCAGAAATGCATGGATCCCTGACTGCTTCAAACGAAGATTCCTGGTTTTTTCTTTTGGAAGTATCTTCACTGATCTGTAGGCAAGACTCTTCATTTTCTGTCTCAACTGTGTTACTTTCAATTATCTGTGTCATACCTGATATACTGCATGTGTTCTCTGTTTCTCCAGAGCAGGGAACTCTGGCTTCACGTCCCTCATGATTTAGGACACATAACTCTTTATCATGATTGCTTGGTCTCATTTTGACTTTTGCTTCAAGACACCACTCTCTACCACTGGCATATAACTGAGGCATAGGTGACTCGACTGAAGACTTTGCACCTTGTTCCGGAGTGTCCATGCGTATTTGCGGAGAAAGTGTTGGCATATCTTCTTCAATTTCTGTATCTTGCCCTGTAGGACTATTTACAACAGTACCATCAGTTTCCTGTAGAAAACAAAGAAGACTGAGTGAACCAGGGGAAAACATCAAGTCATAATTTAGAACTCTATACCGATACTCTAGCTGAATTGTAACTATAAGATAGTTAGCATTAGGGGTGCCTGGGTGGCTCAGTCAGTTGAGCGTCCAATTCTTGATTTCAGCTCAAGTCATGATCCCAGGGTCATGGGATTGAGCCCCATGTCAGGATCTCTGAGCATGGAGCCTCCTTAAGATTCTCCTGGGGCACCTGGGTGGCTCAGTTGGTTAAGTGTCTGACTCTAATTTGGCTCAGATCATGATCTCACGGTTTCTGGGTTCAAGCCCCTCATCAGGTTCCATGCTGATGGTGCAGAGCCTGCTTGGGACTTTCTCTCCCTCTGTCTGCCCCTCCCCTGCTCACTCTCTGTCTGTCAAAATAAACAAACTTAAAAAAAAGAAAGCGTCTCTCCATCTCTCTTTGCCCTTCTCCTCTGCTTGTACCCACTCTTAAAAAAAGAAATGATAGCATTACTAATAATAACATATTAATTCTTAATAGTATTTGTATTGTGGGGGTGCCTAGGTGGCTCAGTCAGTTAAACGTCCAACTATGACTTTGGCTCAGGTCATGATCTCAACAGTTTCTGAGACTGAGCCCTGCATTGGGCTCTGCACTGACAGCACTGGGCCAGCTTGGCATTCTCTCTCTCCCTATCTGCCTCTTCCCTGCTTGTGTAAATGAGTTCTCTCTCTCAAAATAAATAAAAACTTAAAAAAAAATTTTTAAATAGTATTTTTATTCTGTGTGCTAATTTAAGACATTTCTTCATTTTCACTCCCATGAATACCTACAGATTAAAATGCACAAACTGGATTGTTTATATGGCCAATAAACTGGCACTAGGACCTGACCTCTCTTTCACCTTACAAACTTTCTCTAGTCCAGAGATTTTTAGCCCCTCTTTGTGCCATGGACTCTCTACCTTTCAGTATTTTGGTAAAGCTTACAGACATCTACTGAATATTTTTCAGTATAAAAATAAACACATAGGATTACAAAGGGAACAACCTAGATTGCAACACAATTATTAAAAATGTTTTAATTTCTTATGTAATAATGTGTCCCCATTAATACATTAAATAATAAGATCTAGTGACAAGTCTAAGAACTTGTAATACTGAACGAGGGATGAATAACAATATTTCAAGAGACCTGCCACAGACATAACATGATAAAAACTTGACCTTTCCACTGATGATCAAAGGTACAGCTTTTGCTAACAGTATTATGGTTTGCAGTATACGGTCATAATTAAAGGAATGACAGGTTAGGTGAAAATAAAGATAAACCTTTTCTTCCACTGAGCTTCATATGTACTTCCTGGATTCTAACTGTAGACCTTATTAGGTTAAGAACTTTGCTTCTGCCAGTATATTTCTTTTCACTTACAGGTCTTAGGTAAGTAAGGACCTAGGATTAGTTTTGACTTTAAATCTTTCTTTTACCTGTTCTGCTTTGCATTGATCATTCCTTACAGCATTTCTTATGAACCAATGTGGTTGGACTAGACAAGTTCCAGGTTGTTTACCTAGTTTTGCTGTGAATATGAACACCAGGGTAGGAAAAATAGCCCCACCTTGAAATGCCTCTTCCATCCTTAGTTCCATTATGAGCCAGATCATGTGGACCTAAATCCTCCCTCTATATCATCTCTACTTAAGGGACTTAGTGCAAGTCTCATATTTCTGTGTGCCTTGGTTTTCTTAACTATAAAATGGGCACAAGAATAAATACTTACCTTATAGAGCTGGTGCTTGTGATGGAGATTGAAGAAAATAATACATACATTATCTGGCACATGGTAAATGCCAATTAAATGATAGGTGAGCTTAAAAAATTTTAGGAGCCTCTTAATAAAGTGTTAATAAAACTTCTCTGTAGGAAATCAACCATGGTGTCAGTTTACTTTTTTCCCCTAGAAACTTGATAAATGTGTAATGTTACCTGTGTTACTAGGCCACATAGCTGACGGTAAAAATGACCTTATTGGTGAATTGCATCTTTAGAGAAGGTTGCTGACTCCTAGTATAGGTGAGCATAAGATGACTAAGAAAGGGGGTTCCATATACAACAGTGATTTAAGAAAAAAAAAAAAAAGGAAACTACAAGTATTAGCAATCTATAGCATTAGTAAACTTGCCAAACTAAGGATATCTTTAGTATCCACATACCTTGGACATGGAGCTTTTCCTGCTTTCTTGTACAACTTCAGATTGTGATGCTGACCCAAATTGAGATTTAGGTGACAAATACCTTAACAAAACAAACAAACAAACAAACAATGTTTACCAAAGTTTGAATGCTTTGACAGACAAGTGGTATGTAACTAATATAATATGTCACATAGCTATTTATGTGAAGGTTGTCTGTTTGCTGCTTGGCTGATTTATCAGAAAGAGTGTAGTCCATTTCCTTGTCTCAGGTATTTTGGCCTAACTCCAAAGCAAAACTTAAAAGGCCGAGTATTGATAGTTTAGTGAAAAATAGCAGGAAAGGAAGTAAAATCCAAACATTTCTTAATTCTCAAAAGAAATTCAAAAGGTAGACAGCATCAAAACAACTCAAAACTATATAGTCTTCCCAAAAGTGGTGGAAATGAAATTTTAAATCAGGAGAAAGAATATGTTAGTTTCTTTTTAATGCCAGAAATTCTGGCTGTTTACTACATTAAAAAAAAAAGTTTACTTATTTGAGAGACAGACAGACAAACAGAATGTGAGAAGGGGTGAGGCAGAGAGAGAGAGAGACTCACACAGATCTGAAGCAGACTCCAGGCTCTGAGCTGTCAGCACAGAGCCCGATGTGGAGTTTGAACCTGTGAACCACGAGATCATGACCTGAGCTGAAGTCGGACACTTAACCAACTGAGCTACTCAGGGGCCCATTTACTACACTGCTAAGGGCTACTATTGAGAAAGTATCCATGATTAGATTCTTTACTATTCTGAGATAAAGATTTTGTTAGATACACATTTTATATAAACTATGCCTACAAAAATACAAATCTATCAATGTATCCGTTATAAGAGTATATTTCTAAATTTCTAAGCATCATTAATAGGCTGTTTGCCACTGAAAACATGAAGTCTGTAATATGATGAAAAATGCTGTAAAAGAAATGGGAATAAAAGGACAGGTTATGAGAAAGTTAAGTATATTTTTAAAACTAAAAAAAAAAAAATACATATACAACTTGCTTCAAATCTCCTAAAATGTTGGCAGTCTTCAAGCAATGGAAGTAATATCAGGTGATTTTCAAAGAGTAGCTAGCTATTGTTTTTATAGTTAAAGAAAACAATGGAAAAATGTCTGACTGCAAATAGTATGTAAAACCATGAGTTCCATAGTGTTCAAAACACCATGAATAGTATGCGAAACAATAAAATAAAATCTAGGCAAAGATCTCATATAAAGAACAAATAACATTCCTTCTAAACTAGAATATCTAGACCATATATTTAGTTGAATCATTCTAAATACTCTGCAAACTTGTAAGTACAAGAACTACCTTTTCAACTGATAAAACAGGAGCCCAGTTTAGTCTGATTTTAATTTTGTGTCTCAAAGCTGAAGAAACTCTTCTGCCAATATTAGATATTAGTTACCAAGATAGATTTATTATAGCATAATCCTTTTTTTGAAATCCATAAGCAGAGAACAAAATGTGACCAGATACTTATTCAACATGATCAGGAAAGATTTATGAGCTTGTCCTGAATATTCTTTATAGTATGAATAATGTATGAATATGTGCTCATTCTAAAAAAGTAAACAGAGGGGCACCTGGGTAGCTCAGTCAGTTGAGTATCTAACTTCAGCTCAGGTCATGATCTCACAGTTCGTGGGTTCAAGCGTCTTGTTGGGCTCCGTGCTGACAGTCAGCTCAGAGCCTGGAGCCTGTTTCAGTTTCTGTATCTCCCTCTCTCTCTGACCCTTCCCTGCTCATGCTCTCTCTCTCTCAGAAATAAAATAAGAAACATTAAAAAAAAAATAGTTTTACCACACATTTGTATCCCTAAACATGTACTGCTCAGTTCTGCATGATTTTGAACTTTACATCTATGGAATCATATTACATGCATTCACCAATTTTTTTCCTCACCCATTTTCCTGACTCATGCTTGTTGTCCTCTGCTGGATTCATTCTGACTGTTGGACAGTATTCAGTTCTACTTTTGGACATCTGGGTGCTTCTACTTTTTGCTGTTACAAATAGTACTGCTGGGAACATTCCTGCACATGTCTTCTAGGGTTTCTTTCTTTTTTTTTTTTTAATTTTTTTTTTAAAGTTCATTTATTTTGAGAGAGAGAAAGAGAGGGAGGGAGGAAGAGAGAGGGAGGGGGCGGGGAGGAAGAGTGAGAGAGAGAGAGAGAGAGAGAAAATGAGTGGAGGGGCAGAGAGAGGGGGGGAATGGGGGTCTGAAGCAGACTCTAATGTTGACAGAACAGAGCCCGATGCGGGGCCAGAATTCACTAATTGTGAGATGGTGAACTAAGAAGCAAGTTGGGATGCTCAACTAACTGAGCCACCCAGGCGCCCCTCTTCAGGGATTTCTTTAGTGTCTGCACCCCAGAGTCCTAGGGTATCAACCTTTTACATTCCCACTAAACATAACTGTTCCTTAGTATCTATAGCACTTTATATTGCCAGAGAGATTAATTTTTCCAGTAGGATGAGTATGAAATGCCACCTCATTGTGACTTTGTGTTTCCTTCTTCTCAAATATTTATTAACTTTCAAGGTTTCATTTTCTATAAAGTCAAAATTTTTTGTCTCTCTTTCTACTGATCTTTCTCTTCCTTATAGGTGGGTATTTCTTTAACAGCACAGTCTTTTTTTTCAGTTAAGTATGTTAAAATTTCTTTTCTTAAAAAATTTTTTTTTCTTTAATGTTTTTTATTTATTTCTGAGAGAGAGACAGCATAAGCAGGGGAGGGGTCAGAGAGAGAGGGAGACACAGAATTTGAAACAGGCTCCAGACTCTGAGCTAGCTGTCAGCACAGAGCCTGACGCGGGGCTCGAGTCCACGAACTGTGAGATCATGACCTGAGCTAAAGTCAGACGCTCAACCAAATGAGCCACCCAGACGCCCCTAAAATTTCTTCTTAAAAGACAGAAGAGTATCATTTTATTCTCTAAAGGTATTTTGATAAAGACATTCTTAATCTTATAATCTGTTTTGTTCTTTACAATAGCCTTCCCCAAAGATAATCTGCTTCATTATCTTCTTAAAGATTTATTGTCTGCCTTTTTAATAGACCTTTAATTCACCTTAATTTTTATACATAGTATGAATAGAGGTCCAAGCTCATTTTTTCCTTGTATAATCAATTGTCCCTGTGACATTTACTGACAAATTCATCTTTTTCCCACTGATTAAAACGACTACTACTGTATTAGCTACCCAAAGTATCCCAAAACTTAGTGGCTTAAAACAACATTATCTCACAGTTTCTGAGAGTCAGGAATCCAAGAGCAGCTTAGTTGGGTGGTTTGAGCTCAGGATCTCTCACTAGGGTCTAGTGAAGATGTTAGTCATTTGAAGGCTTTATTGGGGCTTAAAGGATCACCTTCCAAGAAGGCTCACTCACAAAGGCTATTCTATAAGTCCCATTTTGCTATTGGCTGTTGGCAGAAGGCCTTAGTTCCTACCAGGTGGGCCTCTCCATAGGGCTGCTCACAACAGGGCAGCTAACCTTCCCAGAGCAGGTACTCCAAAAAAGAGAAAAGTCACAGTGCCTTTCAGGATTTAGTCTCCAAAATATACAATGTCCCCTCGAATAATTCTATTTGTATACTTAAGTCCAGCCCACATTCAAGGGGAAGGGAATGAGTATCAAAGAATTTGTGGGTATATTTTAAAAACACCAATAACATCATGAAGGCACCATAAAATTGTTGTATTTCTACACTAAGGCCATTACCCTGCCTTAATCATTTTGTTCATCTATTCTTGTGCAAATATCACACATATTTACTTATAAATTTAAAGCATCCAACTCTTCACCACACATTTTATTTCTCTTTAGTGGCACCTGAAAGTCCTTTCTCTTCCATATAAATTTTTAGAGTCAGATGGTTAACCAACTGGGCCACCAGGCGTCCCAAACTCATTTATTTTATTTTATTTATTTATTTATTTTTTAAATGTTTTATTTATTTCTAGGAGATAGAGAGAGAGAGAGACAGCATGAGCAGGGGAGGGTCAGAGAGAGAAGGAGTCACAGACTGAAACAGGCTCCAGGCTCTGAGCTGGCAGTCAGCACAGAGCCCGACTCGGGGCTCGAACCCACTAACTGTGTGATCATGACCTAAGCGAAAGTCGGACGCTTAACTGACTAAGCCACCCAGGCGCCCCCAAACTCATTAAATTTAAAAATGTATCTCTGAACTCTTGGATTTTCAATGAATTTTCTATATTCCACCTCTAATAAAAATGGCTTTTTTTTTTTTAATCCACAATGGTAATTTACTTATTTTTTAATGTTTATTTGAGAGAGAAAGAGAGCACGCACAAGCAGGGGTGGGGCAGAGAGAGAGGAGACAGAGGATCCGAACCAGGCTTTGTGCGGGCAACTGAGAGCCTGATGTGGGCCTTGAACCCACAAACTGCGAGATCATGACCTGAGCCAAAGTTAGATACCCAACTGAATGAGCTACCCAGGTGTCGCTAAAATTAACCACTTTAAAACTGTACAATTCAGGGGCGCCTGGGTGGCTTAGTCGGTTAAGCTTCTGACTTTGGCTCAGGTCATGATCTCACAGTTCATGGGTTCAAGCCCCGTGTCGGGCTCTGTGCTGACAGCTAGCTCAGAGCCTGGAGCCTGTTTTAGATTCTGTGTCTCCCTCTCTCTCTGACCCTCCCCTGCTCGTGCTGCCTCTCTCTCTCAGAATTTAAAAAAAAAAAAAAAAAAAAGTGTACAATTCAGTAGCGTTTTAGTATGTTCACAAAACTTCAACCATCACCTCTATTTAGTGCCAAAACATTTTCATCATCCCAAAGGAAACCATGTATATGCTAAGCAGTAACTCCTCATTCCCACCTTTCCCCAGCCCCTGGTAACTACTAACCTGCTTTCTGTCTCTACAGATATACCTACTCTAGCTATTTCATATAAATAAAATCATGTTAACAGGCAGCTCTCTTTGTCTGGCTTCTTTCATTTAGCATGTTTCTGAGGTTCATTCATGTTAACAGCATCTATCAGTATGTCACTCCTTTTTAGGGCTGAATAATATTCCACTGCATGGATTATACATTTTGTTTATCCATTCATCCTTCAATGGACATTTGTGTTGTTTCCATCCTTTGGATGTTTGAAGTACTGACCCAAACATTTGTAAGTATTTGTTTAAATTCCCATTTTCTACTTGGGTAGAGGTGGAATTGCTAGGACATATGGTAATTCTGTTTAATTTTCTGAGGAACTGCCAAATTGCACCATTTTATATACCCACCAGTAATGTACAAGGTTACAGTTTCTCCAATCCTTGCCAACACTTGCTATTTTCTTTTGGATTATAGATATTCTAGTGGATGTGAAATGGTATCTCATTGTAGTTTGATCTGCATGACTTATGATATTGGGCATATTTTCATGTGCGTCTTGGCCATATGCACATCATTGGAGAAATGTCTATTTCATATCCTTTGCTCATTTTGAAACTGGAATGTCTTTTGTTAAATTATAAGAATTCTTTACATATTCTAGGGGCACCTGGGTGGCTCAGTGGGTTAAGCGTCTGACTTCGGCTCAGTTCATGATCTCAGTTTGTGAGTTTGAACCCTACATTGGGCTCTGTGCTGACAGCTCAGAGCCTGGAGCCTGCTTCAGGTCCTGTGTCTCCCTCTGTCTATCTGCCCCTTCCCTGCTCACTCTCTGTCTCTCCCTCAAAAACAAATACTTTTTTCTTTTTCAATTTTTTTTAATGCTTATTCATTTTTGAGAGAGAGACAGAGACAGAACGTGAGCGGGGGGTGGACAAAGAATCTTAAACAGGCTCCAGGCTCTGAGCTAGCTGTCAGCACAGAGCCCGACACAGGGCTCAAACCCACGAACCATGAGATCATGACCAGAGCTGAAGTCGGACACTCAACCAACTGAGCCACCCAGGTGCTCCAAAAACAAATACTAAACAAAACAGAGTTGCATGCTCTACCAACTGAACTACACAGGTGCCCCTATTTTTAATGTATAGACTGTGGTTCTTAAACTCTTCTAATTGTTAATTACTATGGGAAAGCTTATATCCTCATAAAATCACCAACACTACCTGCTGCTGGAGGGGCATTATGGGGAGACTAAATCACTCTACTACTGACTATCTGACTCGTACTTTTTGTATAGTAGAGAAGAAATATAATGTACAGACTAGGGAAAAGAGGATAGGGGAATGGCCTAGATGCCAAGTTATAACCTCCTTCAGTGAGGATAACCTTATATGAGACCAGCCTTTCTCATCTGAATCTAAACCAGGAGAAAAAGGGAATCCAACTGGTTAATTTTGAGAAAATGGGAACATGAAAATCCTGAGGAATCAAGATAAAAAGACTTCATATCTCTCTTTATGCTAGCCAGGTGTCTAAGCTATGTGAGTAGCACCCTTATTTTCACTTTACATCAATCTCAGACCATTTGGAGAGATTTCACACAGAGTTGATGGACTGGATTTTGTTTATCAGTGGACTATATGAACAAAAACACCAGTATACAGTAAGTTGATCAATAAGTAGCTGATAAATAGTCATGTTTACTTACTTCTGAATATCTCCAGTGTTTGTTTGTTTGTTCTTACTTTTCTTTTGGGACTTGGTTGTGACTGTATCAGATTTTCTAGAATTCAAGGGAGAAGCCAAAACGCTTCCGTCACAGAAATTGTTCTTCAACAAGAGAAAAAGGATAACAGACGTTATTTTAAAAAATTATAATAAAGTAAGTTATTATTTTGACTAATTCAGACTCTACCATAGAATTTTTCAGGAATTATGCTCACATTTAAATTCTACACATCCTTTGAATAATAGTGACATGCAAAAATTAGTATAAATAAGATTCAATCCATCGAAGTTGGTCTGCATTAATTGCATTTTTATTCTACATTAAGAGCACAAAGGGTATGATGTTACTAATATTCATTTTTCTAATGAATAGCTTCATGTAATTATAACTACCTTAATCTACAGGAAAAAAATGTGGATATGCCTGGAATAAAAGTTAATTTTATGTGAAGATAATTTAATTGGGGGATTTAAGAACATACCAATATCATAAATATTTACTTGCTATTACCGGTCTCATAAATTTCTTACTACACTACTGGAAAAATTAATAAAATTGGTGGTGATATACATTTGGTTTTGGACCACCAAACTTTCTCAAGTAAACCCAAGAATTCTTCTTTTTTAAATGTTTATTTATTTTTGAGATGGAGGGACAGAGCATGAGCAGGGGAGGGACAGAGAGAGAGGGAGACAGAATCCAAAGCTGGCTCCAGGCTGTGAGCTGTCAGCAGAGCCTAGTGTGGGGCTCAAACCTAAAAACCATGAGATCATGACCTCATGACCGGAGCCAAAGTTGGATGCTTAACCAACTGAGCACCCCAGCCGCTCCAAGAATTCTTCTAAAATATCAATGGTTCTACTCTTATAATCTCTATTAATAACAAGAAGGATCAGAATAAGATTCTTAAAAGATAGGTAAAGATAATCCCAGATTCTCCTCTTTGATGTATTTTCTTACCTATCTCATCTGTTATTCTACTGGTCAGTGTCTTTTATTTAATTTCCTAATTATGTACTTTTTCAAAACTATTCTGGGGCGCCTGGGTGGCTCAGTGGGTTAAGCGTACGACTTCAGCTCAGGTCATGATCTCACGGGTTCGTGGGTTTGAGCCCCGCATGGGGCTCTGTGCTGACAGCCAGCTCAGAGCCTGGAGCCTGTTTCGGATTCTGTATCTCCCTCTCTCTCTGACCCTCCCCTGCTTGCGCTGTCTCTCTCTCTCTGTCAAAAATAAATAAAACATTAAAAAATTTTTAAAAAAGCAAAAAACTATTCTACTAAAATTTTAAAAGAAGAAATATATTAAAAAGGGTATATAATCTAAAACTTAGATATACTAATGGACCACCTCGGTGACTCAGTCAGGTTAAGTGTCTGACTTTGGCTGAATTTGAGCCCTGCATTGGGCGCACTGCTGTCAGAGTAGAACCTGCTTCAGATCCTGTCCTCCACCTCCCCACCCTCCTCCACTCACACTCTTTCTCTCAAAAATAAACATTTAAAAAATAAAATATAACATTATCATGAACAGAAGGCCTCTAAAAAAAAAAATCCCAATTCTGGATATACTTCATTTTGGTAATTATATTTTAGGATATTTGTTTGAAAGCAGAGGAATTGTTTTTAGAGGCTCTCACACCCAAATGCACATTCAGCTTCCCTAGATGCCTCTGGGAATGGCATTCCCTAAATCTTATCCCAAGAGATTCTGATTCAGTAGATTTAGAAAAGATATGGGAATTTGTATTTTAAAAGAACCCCAAATAAATTCTGCCAGGTTCTTTCACGTCACTAGGTCTCACTGTACCCTCAGGTCTTACAGTATGGTTTTATCACCCCTTCTTCCATTCATTTTTCCTGAGGCAATAATTTAACTACAGCAAGGTAGTAAAATTCAGGTCTAAGGTCTACTGTATTACTTAAAGCTTTAATGTGCTTGACTTCCAAAGAGTGATTTACATCCATACAATGGATTATTATGCTACTCTTAAAAAAAGAATCAGATAGGGGCGCCTGGGTGGCTTAGTCGGTTAAGCGTCCGACTTTCGCTTAGGTCATGATCTTGCGTTTCGTGGGTTCGAGCCCCGCGTCAGGCTCTGTGCTGACTGCCAGCTCAGAGCCTGGAGCCTGCTTCAGATTCTGTGTCTCCCTCTCTCTCTGACCCTCCCATGCTCACGCTGTCTCTCTCTCTCCCAGAAATAAATAAAACATTAAAAAAAAAAAAAAAAGAATCAGATAAGACTCTGTAGTTACACTGGGGTGCCTGGGTGGCTCAGTTGGTTAAGTGTCTGACTTTGGCTCAGATCTGATCTCATGATTCATGAGTTCAAGCCCTGCATCAGGCGCTGTACTGACAGCTCAAACCCTGGAGCCTGCTTCGGATTCTGTGTCCTCCTCTCTCTCTGTCCCTTCCCTGCTCATGCTCTATGTCCCTCTTTCCCAAAAATAAATAAACATTATTAAAAAAAACAAAACAAAACTGTGTAGTTACATAAAAAAAATCTCTAAGACATATCAAGTGAAAAAAGACAAGGAAAAAAAGTGTGCTTGATACACCCTTTATAGGTGAATAAGAAAAAATGATAAACTGTTAATAGTGCTAACCTTTGGGGAAAGAGACTGATATAATGGAAGAGGAATGGGAATACAGATGTGGAAGGAGAGAGACGAAGCTTTCCTATATGTTCTGAATTTACTAACATGCTAGGAAATTTTAAGTATACTTCAATCAGAACAAATATGTAGCAAAAAAAATTGTGTTTTGTTTTAAGTAGAACAAATATGTCAGAAACACTTCCTCAGATCTTTGAAAAACATGCAAAGCAATGGGAATGTACTTCAAAGTACTCTCCTAAAACTTACAATATTAATGCTTAGCTTTCTTGCTAGTTCTTCATCACTTTTTAGTTGTTCTTCCATCTCTCTTCGCCTTTTTTCTGCCTGTTGTTTTTCTTCCTCTTCTTCCTCTGCCAGTAATCTCTGTATGTATGCTTCGCTGGCTTTGTTTTCTTCTTCCTCACTGGCTCGTCGCTCTGCCTCCACCTTAAAAAAAATTAATAAAGAACATTTCTCTGAACTTTTGATTATACTTGCAATATTTCTCTTTTCTTAAAAGCAATTCTTTTTTCTTTTCTAGAGAGAGAAGAGTGCGAGCTGGAGAGAGGGGCAGAGAGAAGGAGGGAGAGAGAGAATCTTGAGCAAGTTCCAGGCTCACAGTATGGCAAAAGACAGGGACAGACATTCCATCCAAAAAAATAAAAAATTATAAAAATGTCCCCTAATTACATGAAAAGATAATCTTTTTCATAATAAGAGAAATAACAATTAAATCTACACTGAGATAGGACTTCCAGTTTCCAGTAATGATACAGTAAAACACTGGGGGAAAATCCTCCAACAAAAACTGACTTTAAAACCTGGGCATGATAAGCAACTACCGAAGGAACTGGAGAGTGAACATGATCAGACAAACTGCTCCTCCTGGCTTGAAGCCTGGAGCTAACATAATCTGACACTGGTGGAAACAGACCCTATACTTGGGGTTACTTGAAATTCTAAAAGGTTCACAGATAATTTACTGGGGAAAAGATGCTTGTTACAATACATGGGGGTAGAATACAGAATATTTGTAGAAGAAAAATAATGAATCTCAACCCTACCTCATGTCATACTCAAAAACTAATTGAATGGATTATACATCTAAACATACGAACTAAACCAAATTCCAAAAGAAACCTTTGTGACTTTGAGCTAAGCAAAGTTATCAAACTGTATACCTAAAATTAGAAAATTTTCCTATATTGAAACTTACTATAGATAAATTCCACCTTAACAAAGCTTTAAAAAAAACAAAACAAAACAAAACAAAACAAAAACGATGCCAATATCATTCTCACACATCAGACTGCCAAAAATTCAAAAGCCTGACAGTATGCTGTTTTTTAAAACTTTAAATGCTTATTTATTTTTGAGAGAGAGAGAGCAGAGAAGGTGGGGGGTGGGGGGGATGGAGACAGCTGAAGCAGGCTCCAGACTCTGAGTTGTCAACACAGAGCCTGATGTGGGATTCAAACTCACAAACTGTGAGATCATGACCTGAGCCAAAGAAAACCTGATAATACTCTGTTGTCAAGGGTATTATCGAAACAGGTGCTCTCATTGGGAATGCAAAATGGTACGCCAATCAAGGAGAATTTGACAGTTCTAACAAATCTATAGATCATTTAACTTTTGACCTGGCAATGTCAGGTAGAAATCTACCTTGAAGATATACTTCTAATAATATTAAAATATACATGCACAGGAGCACCTGGGTGGCTCAGTTGGTTAAGTGTCTGACTTTGGCTCAGGTCATGATCTCACTGTTTGTGAGTTTTAGTCTCATGTCAGGCTTTGTACTGACAGCTCAGGACCTGGAGTTTGCTTCGGATTCTGTGTCTCCCTCTCTCTGCCCCTCCCTCCCTCATGCTCTGTCTGTCTCTCAAAAATAAACATTAAAAAAAAAAAATACAGGGGCGCCTGGGTGGCTTAGTCGGTTAAGCATCCGACTTTCGCTTAGGTCATGATCTCGCGGTTCGTGGGTTCGAGGCCCGCGTCGGGCTCTGTGCTGACTGCCAGCTCAGAGCCTGGAGCCTGTTTCAGTCTGTGACTCCCTCTCTCTCTGACCCTCCCCTGCTCACGCTGTCTCTCTCTCTCTCTTAGAAATAAATTAAAAAAAAAAAATTAAAAAAAAAAAAACATATATATATATGCACAGTATTGCAGTACTATTTGTAATTAGAAAATACATAGTATGCAGCATTTAATAAGCAAGTACACTTATACATCTGTTTATCTTTACAAAAGACACCAAAGGAAGGATAAAGTACCCTGCGATGAAATTAGTTATCTACAATGTGGGCAGACACAGGGTAGATAAGATACAGGAGGGAGTTATTCTCTCTGAGAGTAACTTCTAATGTAATTTTTATGTTTGGGTGAATGTTAATATTCTACACATTCGGGGGCGCCTGGGTGGCTCAGTTAAGTGTCTGACTTTGGCTCACATCATGATCTCCCAGTTCACGGGTTCAAGCCTGGCATCAGGCTCTCCGCTGACAGCTTAGGGCCTAGAGCCTGCTTGGGATTCTGTCTCCCTCTTTCTCTGCCCCTCCCCAGCTTATGCGCACAGGCTAGTGCTCTCTCTCACAATAAATAGATAAAATTTTTTTAAAAAATATAAGGGAAATGAAAAGAAAATCACTATCACAAAGGAGTAGCAATTATATATAAATAAAACTACTTTCTACCTATTTTAAACATGTAAAAAATAGAGCTTTTGTAAAGTACATTAAAATTAATTATATCACAATATATATTATTTACATAGGCACATAAAAATGTATGTAAAACCTAAAATGGAAAACAAAACAGAGAATTTTTCCAGAAAAGAATAAACATTAGGGTGCCTGGGTGTCTCAGTCAGTTAAATGCCCAACTCTTGGTTTCATGACTCAGGTCATGATCTGATGGTTCATAAGATCAAACCCCGTGTTGGGCTCAGGCTGCCTGGGATTCTCTCACTTTATCTCTCTCTCTCTGCTCCTCCCTCTTTCTCAAAATAAATAAATAAACCTAAAAACAAAAAAGAGTAACTATTTAGTACCTACCTTGCTGATCTCCTCTTCATATTCTCTTCTCAATTCCCCAGGTTTACTTAATAAGCGAACTGGCTGATAGTCATCAACTGTTAGAGATCAAGGAAGAAAGTAATATTATAGGCAACACAGAATTTTATGGCTAGCTTTGGTCTTCAGTTAAACCTATATTAACATGCAAATGTGATATTAAAAGAAATGTACAATTATTAACAGTTATAGCAGTATCTTCTCTACAGAATTCCATTATAAAAGAAAAGTCCAGAGGCGCCTCAGTTGGTTAAGCGTCTGTCTTCGGCTCAGGTCATGATCTCACAGTTCATGGGTTTGCGCCCTACATCGGGCTCTGTGCTGCCAGCTCAGAGTCTGGAGCCTGCTTCGGATTCTGTGTCTCCGTTTCTCTCTGCCTCTCCCTTGCTCTCACTCTCTCTCAAAAAAAAATAATAAACATTAAAAAAAAATAAGAGAAGAAAAGTCCAGAGGTTTTTTGGTTCAAAATGGCACATGAATACATATACTTAACTCCTGCTCTAGAATCTGTTAAAATAACAGTGAAGGAATTTTTTGAAAGTAATCCTACAACAGAAAAGAGGGTCATCGGTAAACAAGAAACTTTAATAAATGTCTAGAAAATGGGAAGCCAATAAATTTAAAAGAGGTGACTTATATAGCAGAATGAAGAAAAATGCAACCCATGGAAGGGAAGGTGACATAGGAGACCTGCCCCACATACCTGAACGTCAGCTCAGGATCAAAAACATAAGGTACAATAGAGACTTGAGTGAATGAGTGTAGGACAGGGAATTTAAAGTTTATAATCTGTTAAATCAGAATATTTGGCTGGTAGGCACTTCTTCCTAGATATTAAGTGTACATACCACAATCAGAAGTTATTTTTTAAAGAAACTAAATTGTCTGGACAGAGCCCTGGCACTCAGGGATGGAGAAGCATAATGGCCAGGTTTAACCTCAAACAATGTCTGCCAGTCACCAATGCCAATATATGTACAAGGAGCTTTATTCTAGGGCCTCATTTTTAAATATGAAAGCAAAACCAAGAATCATCAGACATTTCAAACAAATCTACGGGACTAAAGAAACACTGAGATGCAAAGAAGGAAAAAATAATCTTGAGCTGAATCCAGAAAAAGAGAACACAACTGCTGTTTACATAGGCAGCTGTTACTCAACTCCAGCTGACTACTGCCACCAGGAAACTTAGGTCTGTATTTGTTATAAATTCTGACTTTTTCAAGACAATCCAGAAATCTATATGTTAATATAAAATCTCCAAATTTTAAATGTTGGCACTGAATGGGTTAACACAGAAATCATGTCTGTAGCCTTTACATGGCTTGTAGGCCAGTAGTTTGTAAATTCTGCAACAGAGGAACTAAAAACATATTAAGTCCATTACTGGTAGCAAAGAAGTATACTAAATTCTTATTTTAGCTGTTGAGGAAGATTCATCTGAGACAATATAGTGGGAAATACAGGAGTGATGGCACTTTAATTACATTATTTCTAGTAAAGGAGGACAGGGTATGTACAGAGAGGTAGTATCAGATGTGACAGCTTAGGGGGTGGGCGAACTTTTTCTGGAAAGGGCAAGATAACAAATATTTTATGCTTTGTGGGCAATGCAGCCTTTGTTGGAGTAATTCAGCTCTTGCCACAGTTAAGCACAGAAGCAATCATTGACACAGATGAGCACACTGCCTCTGTCCTAGTAACACTTCACTTACAAAAAGAGATGTGGGCCAAATTTGGCCTGTGGAGGACAAAGTTCTCAGAAATTCTGTGTGCACATGTGTGGTGGTGTGGTGAACATCAAACAATTGTAGGCAACTGGGAAAGGAAAACTGTTTCCTTTTCTCATTGAAAGAGTTCACTTAATAAAGAATAAATATAGCTAAAATGTTATGAAAATTAGAAGATAACCCATAGAATGGAAGAAAATACCTGTAAATCATATATCTGATAAGGCATTAATATCAAGAATATATAAAGAACTCTAGGGGCATCTGGGTGGCTCAGTCGGTTGAGTGTCCGACTTTGGCTCAGGTCATGATCCCACAGTTTGTGGGTTCGAGCCCCGCATGGGCTCTGTGCTGACAGCTCAGAGCCTGGAGCCTGCTTCAGATCCAGTGTCTCCCTCTCTCTCTGACCCTCCCCTGCTCACGCTGCCTCTCTCTCTCTGTCTCAGAAATAAATTTAAAAAAATAATAATAAAAAAAAAAAAGAATAAAGAACTCCAACAAGCGAACAACAAAAAACAAGCTCAGTTAAAAAAAAAATGGGCAAAGGACAGGTATTTTTTCCAAAGGATATGCAAATGGTAACAAGCACATAAAAAGATGCTCAAGATCATTAGGGAAATGCAAATCAAAACCACAAAGAGATACCACTTCATACCCATTAGGGTGGCTATTATAAAGCTAAATAGTGTTCACAAGGAGATGGGGAAACTGAAATCCTTGTGCACTGCTGGTGGAAATGTAAAATGGTGCAGCCACTATGGAAAACAATATGGTGGTTGCTCAAAAGAATTAAGCAAAATTACCATAGGACCCAAGAATTCCTTTCTGGGTACATACTCAAAAGAGTTGAAAGCAGGAACTCAAACAGATACTTACTTGTACACCAATGTTCACAGCAGCATTATTCACAACAGCCAAAGGTGGAAGTAATCCAAGCATTTATCAACAGATAAACGGATAAATAAAATGTGGTAAATACATACAGTGGAACATTACTGTCATAAATGAAAGAAATTCTGACACATGCTAAAACAAGGATGACGCATGAAGATATTATGCTCAGTGAAGTAAGTCAGACAAAACGGGACAAATACCTACTATAATGCTACTTATACAAAGTACCTAGAGTAGTCAAATCTGACATAGGTAGCATGGTGGATGCCAGGGGTTAGGGGAAGGGGGAATTGGGGAGTTATTGTTTAATGAGTATAAATTCAATTAGAGAAGATGAAAAAGTTCTAGAGATGGATGGTAGTGATGCTTGCACACCAATGTGACTGTACTCAATGCTGCTGAACTGTACACTTAAAAATGATTAAAAAAGTAAATTTTCTGTTATCTGTATTTTACCACACACACACACACACAAAACTTCTGTTATGGGACACCTGGATGGCTCAGTTGGTTAAGCGTCTGAGAGTTCATGAATTTGAGCCCCATATCAGACTCTGTGCTAACAGCTCGGAGCCTGGCGTCTTCTTCAGATTCTGTGTCTCCCCCTCCCTCTGCCTGTCCCCCCACTTGCACTCTGTCTCTCTCTCAAAAATAAACATTAAAAAAAAAAAAATCAAAAAAATCTTCTGTTAAAATGAAAACCAGAGGAGGATGGCTTGTTTCCTTCCCCTTAGAGTTGCATGCTCTTTGTGGTCATTTTGTAGAATAAAAGCCACCTTGGATACTCACCCATTGTTAATATCTTGGGTGGCAACAATGGATTTTTACTTAAAGATTTAAAATGGCTTTTCAGGGAGCACCTGAGTGGCTCAGTCAGTGGAGCATCCAACTCTTGACGTTGGCTCAGGTCATGATCCCAGGGTGGTGGGATCAAGCCCTATGCGGGGCTCTGCGCTTAGTGTGCAGCCTGCTTGAGATTCTCTCTCTCTCTCTCTCTCTCTCTCTCTCTCTCCCTCTTGCCCCTCTCCGCTGTTCATGTGCTCTCTAAAATAAAATAATAAATAAAAAAATAAAAAAATAGTAACATGGCTTTGGAATAAACACAAGAAAAGAAAAAAGAAAAACACAGAGTCATTAGGGAGACACTTAAGGCCCTACATCAGTAAAGACTTAATATCTATCCTAACTTCAGCCTCAGCCCCCTCAAATGTAATCTTTAGCCACCCAAACTATAATTTCCTATAGGCAATATCCTGAGAGACCCCCCCGCCCTTTAGGAGGACAACTCTGCCTAAACACTGCATGCAGTCCTTACTAATAAACTGTGGGGTTTTTAATGTTTGTTTATTTTTTTTTTAATTTTTTTTTATGTTTTATTTATTTCTAGGAGAGAGAGAGTGACAGCGTGAGCAGGGGAGGGTCAGAGAGAGAGGGAGTCGACTGAAACAGGCTCCAGGCTCTGAGCTGGCAGTCAGCACAGAGCTCAACGCGGGGCTCAAACCCACAAACTGTGAGATCATGACCTAAGCGAAAGTCGGACGCTTAACCGACTAAGCCACCCAGGCGCCCCTAATGTTTGTTTATTTTTGAGAGATAGAGAATGAGCAAGCACACATGGGCGAGAACACACAAGGGAGTGCAGAGAGAGAGGGAGACACAGAATCTGAAGCAGGCTTCAGGCTCTAAGCTGTCAGCACAGAGACCAACGTGGGGCTCAAACTCTTGGAGCTGTGAGATCATGACCTGAGCAGATGCCAGACATTTAACTGACTGGGCATTTAACACCGCTGGGTTTTGTTTGTTTGTTTGTTTGTTTAGGCCTCTTCACTGCCTTTCCTTTTCTGCAGCTCACCGGAGTTCTCTACTGCTGGGGAAAGGAGATGCTGCCTGATTCACTAATCGTTTAATAAAGTCAATTAGATCTTCATATTTACTCAGTTAAATTTTTTTAAAATACTTCTATATGATGACAAACATCACAAAATTAAAACAAACAACAAACTGGGAGAAGTTATTTGCAAATACACAAACCAACAGAGAATTATGTCCAGAATATAACAGGAACTTTAAAGATTAAGAAAAACACACTACATTAATGGGCAAAGAAACATACAATTTACAAAAGATGCTTAACTACTCTATGGTAAGCAGAGAGAACTGTAATTTAAAAAACAAACAAAACAGGGGTGCCTGGGTGGCTCAGTTGCTTAGTCTGACTTTGGCTCAGGTCATGATCTCACAGTTCACAGTTTCGAGCCCCACATCAGGCTCTCTGCTGTCAGCTTTCTCTGCCCCTCCCCCTTCTTACCCCAGAAGGTAAGAGAAAGGCACGGAACAGATCCTCCTCTAGAGCCTTCGAGAACATGTTCCTGTTGACACCTTGATTTTGGGCTTTTAGCCTCTGAACTGTGTGAAAGTAAATTCTGTTAAGCCAC